TTTCCCCCCCCCTCGCAAGACCCCCTGATTCAGGCCAGGTTTGCCCCTCACTCTGGCTCCTGCCCCCCTTGGGAGAAGGCAGCCCTTCTGCCCAGCACTGGGGGCTTGTGGGAGTTGTAGTCCACAACAGGAACTCCTCTCCGCCTCAGCAGGGCCTGGCCAGCCCCCCCCCGTCCTCCATTTTGTTTCTCCCCCAAAGGCTGGGCTGTGGCGGGGAGGGGGCTCTCAGTGTCCGGCCTGGCCACCTCTCTCTGAGGGCCAGTGGCCATCCTTCCCAGAGGGGTGGATCGGCCGCCACGAGGCCCTAAACGAGAAGCCTGGGGCTGAAATGGGGTCAGCTGTGAGAGAGAGCCTTCCCAGGGCCAGGCCTCCTGCCAGGCATGGTGAAGAGGCTGCTGCTGCGGGGAGGCCTCACCCTTCTCGGGCCCTCTCCCTCCCCGGCCCCGGGGGGGGGGATTCTCCCGAAAGGACAGAGAGGGAGGACAAGAAGTCTTTGGGGGAGAAGGTGGCCAGATCCCCATCCCCAACCCCCCAAAGTCCAGCACCAGAGAAGAGGCCTGGCGCTGAGAGGCCTTTGGGTCGGCCGGTGGGGGGGGGGCTTCTGGCTTCTGAGGGGTCGCAATTCATCCTCTCAGAATCCTCTCAGAAGGGCAGAGCCAGAAAAGGGGACCCTCTGGATCATCCATTCCAGCCCCTGCCAAGGAGGCACCTGGGGGGGGGAATCGAACTCCCAACCCCTGGCTCCACAGCCAGAGACTTCGACCACTGAGCTCTCCAGCAGTTCAGGAAAAACCCCACCATTTAAGTTGGGCTCAGAAAGCTACCTTACAAAAGTGCTTGTGTGTGTGTGAGTGCGATTCACCAATAAGACACAGAAAGCAGGCCAGCCTCCTCCGGCCCTAAGCGGGCCTGCCAGGGGCACCGCTTCCCTCCAAGGGGTGCTGCTGGGGGTGGCTTTTAATGGTGCACACCGTTTCTCAGAGGGCGATTCAGAGGCGTTTGGACAAGGAGCAGTTGGCTCTACAAAGCAGCCGGCTCAAGGATAAATTTAGCCGCCTCCCTGGTACGAGGGCCCAGCTAAATTTGGGTTCCCTGCCACTGAGTTCCGCAGAGCCAACTGGAGAAAGAGAGAGAGAGAGAGAGAGAGAGAGAGACGGGGCCTCTGGATCCTTGCCAGCAGAACTAAAGAGCACGCTTGCTCCTTGCATGTTTTCAGGGGGGAAGAAGCCCAGCCTGCCCACGGCGAGGCCTGCACAACCTGGTTGTGACCCAGAACTCCAGTTCTGAGACCCGTAAGGAAAAGGGGGAAGCACAAGTGGGGCCAAAGAAGGAAGAACACTTCCAAGCATCTGGGTCCACAAAACCTGTGCCACGCCACAGCTGAAATCAGTGTTTTGCTCTAAGTTTCCATACATCCTCTGTGACAGTTCCCGTCACAATCAGAAAGGGGGGGGGGAACCTGCATATGGATATTTAATATTTATATTATTTACAAAAAGAAAAAAAATGAATAGAACCAACAATGAGTGACCCAATAGTACTTAGTAATGCATTTATTTTGTTATTGTGTGACCTTTTTTTTTCATTTATGGTTCATCTGGGAAATGAAACCTCACTCACCAGTAAATATATTCAGCCCCCCGATTATTAAAAAAAAAACATTAAAGCAAAAAAAGACCACCAACTTATAATCAATGGTAATACATAACAATCACGAGGGAAAAGGTTATTTCTTAACCTTGAGAGTTCTTAGGTTCTCAAAAAATTATCTGATTAGGCAACAATATAATTAGAACTCCTATCTTGTATCGTACCATGGCCGAAACAGGCATTTTGCTCTTAATTTCCTCCCAGCTTGTCTGACAGAATTATTGCTCAGATTTAATATATTCTAATAATATAAAGGCTAAATGAAGCCAACTCGTTTCTTAACATGCATCCTATTGTTTTCTTGTTTAAGCAGTGTACAAGTAGATGCATAATGCTTACATTTTAGATTTTGCCTAAAACTAGGTGGAATCTGGGTGGTGGTCAAAATAAATTCGGCAATGCTGTTTCTGCCGGTCAGCATCATGTGTTTGTTCCACCCCACCCGAGGGAAAGGTAACTTTTAATGTATTTCCAGTGAGAGACCACCAGGGTCTCAAGCCAAGCCACCCCCTTTTGCAAGCCTTTTCCTAAATGTTTCGGAGGTGCGTCCCAGTTGCACCCTGCGGTTAAAAGCAAGGGCCTCCTCCACTGTGAGGCCCCCAGAGCTGGCCTCAAGCCAGGGGTGACGTCTAGAAGTGACTCCCTTCGCCGGGAAGGTGGGGTAAAAGCAAAACAAACAAAAAAACGGGAGTGAGGCCCGAGCAGCTTTCCCCCTTTGTGACAGCTTGTCAACAGGAAGAATGGCTGCTCTCCCTTTGGGTCACACGAGTGAATGAACGAACGAGCGAAGGAGCGAGTGAGCGTCACCACTGCAGATGGCCAGCCGGTGGTGCCGCAGCTTCCAGCCTACCATGTGACATAAAGAGCCAATAGAAACCCACCTGGCCCTATAAAGTTGCTCCCTGTTACAGTAGGGAGGTCTCCTTTCTGGAAGACAGGCTGGTTTGCAGAGCTGGATTTCTTGTTCAGCCTTGCCTGAGTGCCACTCGGCCGCCAGAGACTGGCACATAGATGTGTTGCTGAGTTGTTCTTTCTTTGCAAGATAAAAGTGGCAGAGATTTATCTCAGGAAAAAGTGTGTGCATGGAGGCCATAAAGTCCCTTTTGATTTATGCCCACCCTAATAGAGTTTTCAAGGTTTATATGATATTTAGGGAGTTTACCACTGCCACCCACCAGTGGGTTTTCACCTGGGGATTTCTCTTCAGTTTTAGGCCATATTAACTCACTGGAGTGACAAGCAGAACAGTGCCCCCCCCCTTGTACAGTAAAACAATCTTCCTGCCAGTCTCAAAACTTGCAATTGTTGGGTGTGACTATGCTATAATTTTTTGCTTTGTGTTATGTGTTTGCCTGTAAATTCATAGTGCATGAATTAATTAATGTACAGTATATGCATTTAAAATACAGTACACAATAAGTTATGAAATAATAGCAACTGCTAACATTCACATGTACTTGGCATGCAACAGGTTAGGCAGAACACTCTTTAAAAAGGATTAAAGGATAAGAGGGCAAGGTCAGACGCCCTGGTGGTGACTGATCCCAGGGCCTGGGGCCTTGCACTGATGTCAAGTGGTGTTATGAGGTGGGGCTGCTGCAGCTGAGGAGAGGAAATCACAAAGAATCTGTGCCCCGAAGGTGGCAACACACAATCCTTGCAGGAGGACTTTACTGCACTAAATTACAGCCTCTTGGTCTTGCTGTGAATTAAGGTGTGCTTTAATCCCATTCCTGCATCTTCTGAGCTAAGCTCCATTCAATTCATTGGCCAAAATCTTGTGCAAATTTATGCCGATGTAAGGGAAATGATGTGATTAACAGGGGCACAACCAGGAGTCTAAGCAGGGACTCTTTAATTAGTGGCTGGCTGCTGCTAAGAGTCTCAGCTGCAATCCCTCTGTGTGTGGGATCTGGGTGGCTTTGCGTGGCAGTGGGGAATCTAATCAGCAGCCGCTAATTAAAGAGTCTCTGCTTGGATTCCAGTCATGTCTCCTCGGGTGACACAGACTCCCCCCCTCCTCCTGTGTGTGAGAGAATTTTGGTCATTGAGATTTACTTTGAGTTTGCAGGATAAGCAAACAAAACCAAACTCAAATTATTTCAAACCTCTAGGAACCTCTTTTTCCCCCTTCCAGACAACCTACAATTCCAGAGCAACTTCTATGGGCCCAGTGTTAAAACTGTCTATATCCATTTATTAATCCCACTGAATCTAGTGGATTTGTATAAATGTTGATTGGCCATTCTGCAACTGATTCTGTGGGCCCTCTCTAGTTGGGCTAGCAATTGGATTTAGGCCAATGTTTTCTAATCTATTTTTTAAACATTTACTGTACTTTAAAAGGTATCAAAAGCTATGTTCAAGCTGTCTTTAAGGGGCAACTCTTGCGCATTGTACTGAACATTGTACATTGCATTTTGTGCCATTTTAAACTCCTACTGTTAGTTGCTGTGAGGCTCTTTCTGATGAAAAAGCAAAGCAACCTGGAAAAATAATAAATAACTTCAAAGTTATCGTATGTGGCGGCTGGGAGCCAAAGCTCACCTATTTTCATTCAGAGCTGCACACCGTCCGTTCCTTGCACCTTCGGGACTGGATGGGAAATTCTCTGTGAGGCTGTTGCCGGCGGTCCCATCTGGTTGCTCACAGGGAGCCAGGACCCTGGGATGAAAACTCCCTCTTCCACTCCCCCTACGGCCTTACCGATCAGTCTTGATTGACTTCCTAAGCTTAGTTCTATCTGCAGAGCACAAAGATAATAAGGAAATATGTCATGAATTTAATCGATTTTTTAAAAAAAGTAGATGAACAGATAAATCAAATTCTCTCTGCAGTCCAACCTTGAAGGACCTGAAACTGAACAGAATAGTGCCAGAGGGGATAATTCCAGCAAACCCATTTTCTTTCTCTTTTTTGGCCTTTACAAGCTTTCTTTTCCCTGGCTGGCAGACTCCCAGAGGTAAAACAGGACCTGGGCAGGAGAACTGCTCGCTTGTTTTACAGTCCCCTGCAACAGGGTAAAATCTGGGCTAGGGTTGATGGGACCTGCGGGCTCACAGCCGCAGAACTGTGTCCGGAGCAGCGAGACATGTCACCACAGAGTGGTCCGTCCCACATGTCCGGAGCAGCGAGACTTGCTGCCTCGAAATTGTTCCTTCCTACAGTCCTGTCCCCCCACCCCAGACCCTCGAGCGTTTTCCAAATAACAAAGAATATGCCTTTTCTCCGGTCCCTGAAAGCTCTAGGAAGTACCGTTGCTGGCAAACCTCCTCTGCCACTTCCTCCTCCTCCCCCTCCTCCTTGTTACAATGGCGCTGGGGTGTTGTTGTTGTTGTTGTTGTCTGTGTAAACACCACATGGAGCATCTGTTGTGGGGGGGCGGCGGCGGCATCATCATCATCGGAGGAGGAGGCCTCTGGAAGCCCTGCCCCAGCTGTGCAACCCTCTGCCCCCTGCAAAGAGACACGCTGACATGCGCTTAATGCCCAGAACAATCCCTCACCCGCCCCGGGTTATCAGGGCAGCGGAAAATGTTTATTGTGAGGACTAAAGGCTTTGCCGCAATTTAAGTTGCCCAGCCAGCGACATATTGCTAAATCTAGATAATAGAAATCCCAGAGAAATCTGTCTGGATTATAGCTGGGAGATTATGGCAAAGCTAAATTACTGTGTATGTTTTGCTGGCAAATGTGAAACAAGCCTCGTCTGAGAAGATGGATGACAAGGCAAAACACGAGGCAAAACCTGCTGCAGGGAGATTTCGGGCCTTACGGGGGGGGGCTGAGAGGGAATCCCTCTCCGTTGATCCGACGGGTGGCCTGAATTAATGCAAGCCTTTGTTTTGGTGGGGCTCTGTTGAAGAATCCGGGTTAACTGGAGTCCTCAGAAGCACAGAGGCCTTTGTCCACGGCCCCCACGTGCTTTTCACATGGATCCTTTCCCATACTGTCTGCTGTCTGCTTTAGTTTACTGCGTTGGGGTGGATGGATTTACATAATTTGTGGTTCATTTGCAGAACAACTTACAAATTGATATTGCTCCAAAGGTTAGCTGATTCTGCTTCAGCAAAACTGCCGCCTCCCTCTCTCGGTTTCCAGGTGAAAACTCTTCCTGGCCTTTTGAGGACAAGCAGAGAAAGAACCTGAACTCACCTGACAGAACAGTCTTCAGACGTTTCCCATCAAGGATTTGAATTCCAGGAATTCCAAAATAAACTCACCTCCCAAAAAAGGAAAGGCCAAGTAAACACAAGTTCAAAAGGTAACTTCACAGCTCCAGCAGCAGCAGCAGCAGAATGTCACTAACACTTCCACCCTCCGTTCAGTGGGCTAGCAATGCTTGTGTTTTATCGTTTAAGTCTTAATTCACTTTCAAAGCCACCGGGCAGCTGGAGCCGAGAGCAGGTTTGTGCAGGGATTCAAGAGAAGGCACTGAAGGCACAGCTGGCTGCTTCTTCACAGAAATGGCATTTTTAGATGACCCGGTCCACTCACAGCCATCCAGAGAGGCCGCGTCCTGGCCCACGCGTGCTCTCAGTGTCCAGCCGTCAGTGGTCACGGCCTCTCCCACTCTGAAGAGCTTGCCAAAGCCAGCAGGCTCCAACAGATCCATCGCCCATGAAAGAATCTCACCTATTTTCAAACATCCTGCCCGGGTCCGTCTCTCTACCTGTGGCTTGGCTGGTGAATTCCTTGTGAAAGCCACAGGGGAGGACCAAGTAGCTGCCTAGGGTTCGAGTGGACACTGGAAGAGAACAGAAAAGGGAGTTGTTTTAGATTGGGTAGGTGAAAAACAGAAAGGGCGTTTGTAACTTCAGTGGAATTGCATGCCATCCAATTCACCCAAGTAGGGGCAAACAGAAAGGGCGTTTGTAACTTCAGTGGGGGCAATGCCTGTGTGTGTGTGGTGTCTCTGGACCAAGCGGCCGGCGCTTGTTGTCTTCTTGCAATACCCCCCCCATCGGACAGATGGGTCCAGTGTCAAGGTGAGGTTGCTGCGTGTGCTACCAGAGAAGTCTTCTCCCCAACTCCGGTGGAATGAAGAGGAGGGCCTCTTGCCCAAGACTCTGTGGACTGTTGATGCTCTACCTGTTGTCAAGCACTTCAAAAACAGAAAGGAGAGAGAACTCTGCGGTTCCTGACATAAACACACCAGGCTGAGAGAGGCCGGCGGGCAGTCTCTGCCGTTGGCGCGTCAGAGCCGTGTGGGACCCTCTGAGCTGTAATAGTGAGAACCAAAATGACCCAAGGATTTGGCGGGGAGGGGGAGGCCGGATGGAAGAGTTGTGGTTATGGACAAGGGAATGCAAGCGGTGCACACTTTTGGTCAAAGTGCTAATGGGGTTTTAATACCGCTTAAGATCCATGCCCTGGCCCAGCCCGGCATAAAGCCGTTATAATCGGAGGGTATTTCCACGGGAAACCTCTCAAGCAGAGGATTCTGCATTAGGGAGGCCGGGGTGTTCTTGGGATTAGTCTGGAAAGAAAAGCTATACAGAAGACAAAACAGAATCCATAACTACTGTACATGGTGGAGCCCTGGGAAAGGTTATAACAAGGTTTCATAAGGGAACATCCAGATTAAAAAAAGAAAAAGAAAGGCACGCAGACGGGAGGGGATCCAGAGAGCCAAGGGGAGCACCAGTAAGGGAGAAAGGATAAAATGTTGGGAAGGGAAATACCGCCAACAGGGGTCATGCAATATAGAAACCGTGGTGTTCAGGTTAGATGGGACTCTCTTAAGGCTTGTGTCATATACGATCACAGACGTTTTGGTGCCCATGACAGATGATACTTTTGCAAGGCTCTGTAGTTCGGAAAGGGAAACGGGGCTTAAAACGTGTATTGTTCGTGTTAAGGGGAGAACCTACTA